CTTCACAATTGTATACCACTTTGTGTTGGTCTTTCACATTAAATTCCAGTGAAATATATTTATGTTTGTGGTTGTAATGTGACAAAATATGGAAAAATTCAAGGGGTATGAATACTTTTGCAAACCACTGTATGTATGTCCTGGTCACATGACCAATTTAGTGGGTAAGATTTGCTCTTCATACAAATCTGTTCCAAATTGTGTCAAAATTACAGACTTCAGTCTATACATCAAATTTTAAATTGTGTTGATAGATAAATAAATGACAGAACCTTTTTTTAAATGTTCAACATATTTGAAGAAGAGAGGAGCACCGAGCGGACTCTGCCTTGTGGCATTAATCGTATTAATTGTCAAGTGCCAAAAAGTAATCGAGTTAATGTTTTTCCGACGATTAATTGCACACGATACGATTATGCCCAACCCTAGTTTTTACTTAGTTTATAAAACATCCAAACTTTTTTAGAACTGGTGTTGTAAATTATTTTTGGTGATTCTTCTACTTTAATAGCTCAGACATATTACAGCAGGTTTAACACTACATCAATCCACAATAAAATGATTGATTCAATCACATTAAGGCAAAACAAAAGCATCGATCCGTTGTTAGATGGGCATATATTATTGCATCAACGATCGCAGACTTGTGAATTGAATCAAAATCGTATCATGACAGACTTTGTGATATTATAGACATCTTATCATTCAAAGAAATATAAAATCAGATTGTGTTAAAACTGGTGATTTACACCCCTAACTTGTACCTTTGTGCCATTGTGGTGGGTTCAAATTCAGTGGCAATGGCTGTCCTATCAGCTTTTCAGTGACTCCATGACTTTTAGTGTCGAACAAGAATGTAAAAATTGCTGTGTCAGTAAAATATTCTCTGTTGTATCGTGGCTCCAAAAGTTCAAACATAACAATGAGAAGTTGAAAACTTTGACATCACCTGTTTGTTGATCAGCTGGCCACTTCTCCAACTGTTTTTTTTCATCCTGTAATATTGTTTTCTGTTTTAGTTGCTTTCAAATTGTTCTTGTTTAGTTTTACTTAACTTGTGTAGCTCTTGTCCAGGTCCTTTTCCCCTTAAACTTTATAGATGTCTAATTACTCTTTCTTTCCTTGGTGGTGGTCCTCCTACTCATCCATCTTGTGTCTATTTACGTATATGTACATCACAAACTGTCCAGGTTCTTCACTTCTTCTTTTTTGCCTTCTGTGTTCCTCATCGTTATGTTAATAATTAACATTACACAAGTCAACTTTTGGCATTTAAAAATTGAATCAGAATCATCATGCCTGCATCGCGATGCATCTAAAAGTAGATTTTACCCCCCAGTAAACAGTTGTTTTTGTCTCGATTCTGCATTTTTTTGCTGTCATTATAAATGGTAAATGGACTGTACCTTTTATTGCACCTTTCTATTCAACCAGAATACTCAAAGTGCTTGTTCTCATTTACCCATTAACACAGAACTCTTCTAATCTCTCTACAATGTTAATGTACATAAGTAATTATATGGAGACTAATCAGTGCTTAATCACATTCATACACTGATGGAACACACATCAGAGGCAGTGAGGGTTCAGTGTCCTTTTCAAATGAAAGATTGGTCTTTTTCATGTTTAAGAAATGTATGCAAGTTGAAAGAAAATCTTTTCATTTATTTTAAATTGTTGCAACAGTAGAAGTGTCTGTCATTCTGTATTTTTATTTTTGATGCAATCAAATTGTAGACATAGTAAAAGATGAGCAACCTTGTTCTAAATGAAAGAGTTATTGTGTAATGTTTAAGTTCTAAGTGAACAAGTATTCAGTATAGGGATGCAAGTTATACTGTATCTGCATTACCATCGGTATTGGCCGATATTGGTCATTTTTTTAGAATATCTGTATTGGCCCGATATGTAAAACTGGCCGATATGAACGTCCAATATTGATTTCCCAATTTTTTTCTTTGTGTTTCTGTTTTGAGAGAGGAGATGGTTGGTTGAGTGGCATCTATTTAATCATGATTGTGTTAGTGATGCTGCGCAGCCAGGAATAACTGAAGTAGAGCCATGATAGTAGGCCTGTCGCAATAGTCAATAAATCAATTAATTGCACGATAAGTTATTTTGAGGTCGGAAAAAAAATAAGGACAATAAGTTTCATTTTCCTGCTTGTTTGTTTACTTCGTCTCTCTCCCTCTCTGTGCTCCGCTACACAGGGGCTCAGCTGACTCCTCCCCTCCTGTTTTCTTAGTGTGGAAGGAGTGAACTGTAGCTTTAGCATGAGAGCTCGTAGCAATAACAAACTAAAGAAACGTTTCAAAGCAGAACGTGGCTGCTGCAGTGTCGGAGCACTAGMGCCTGAATTTCACTGCGGGGAGACACACAGAGAGAGAGGAGGAGAAGGGGTGGGGGCTGAAACTCCCTCAGACCTGCGACAAACTCGTCAAGACTTTACCTGTAGCTCCCAAAAATAACAGGAAACTTAAACGCACCATCTGTGTTTTAACTAAACACCAAAAAACCTGTAGCTGTCCCAACAACTCATGAGGAAAACTGAACTGTCTGATTTCCTCCCCGCAGCGCTCTGACTGTCTCCTCTGACTGTCCCCTCCTCTCTCTCACACACACACAGACATGTTTGTTCTATCCTCATGGGGACTTTGCATTGACTTTCATTCATTTACCAGTATTTTCTATTACCATTTGACCCTAAACCTAGCCTAAACTTTACATGGGATGTGAMCTGGGCTKATGTCCCCATAAGAAACAGTGGGTCCTCACCAGGCTGTGTAGTTTGCTTCATCTCTAAAGAGATGCTCTTTAATATTGTTTATTTACTGTCTTAGTTGTGTGTGGTGTTTAATTTACATTTTGTTGTTCTTTTTTTTTATTCAAGTGCATTTTTTGTTAGAGACTGAGAGTCCACTTTGTTAAACATTCTTTTAAAAATGAAAGTTTATTGATTTATTACACTTACATATTACGCTTTTATAATTATTAGTTGTAAAATGGCCGCCAGGCAATATTATCGCTTATCACAATAATTTGAGAGACAATTAATCGCCCAGCAAAATTTGTTATCGTGACAGGCCTACATGACAGAGGTCGTTTATTTATAGTATCGAAAAAAGACACAAGTGTGTTTGTTCGTATGTATGTAAATAATTTGTGTAATATCGGTTATCGGCCATAGCAGCAATAATTATATCGTATATATCGGCTAAAATTTTCATATCAGTGCATCCCTAATTTAGTATCTACTTGATATTGGTGAGTACTGTTATGAGTTTATTGAAGATAAACTTTTTACCAGGTCATTTTGATTCTGGATGGATCGACAGGAGACAACCTTGAGAAAATTAACACAGAATTAATTAAAGATTACATGTAAAACCCTCCAAGCAGATTTGCAAATCTGGGAGACTGCTAGACCGATACTTCCCTTCTATCGTCCAGCAGCGTCTCATCTAACTTCTGTAACTCTGACATTTTATAGTGAAGCCTCATTCTTATGTAATTTCTGAGCAACCTGCACTGGATTTGGATGTCAGCCTGTCACATATTTGCACAGTCCTCATTGGGCGAGGAAACTGGACCTTGACCCCGATCACCAAACATGTTTTTCCAATAGTTTTGTACTGCACACTGTGACATGTGAAATGTCATCTCCTAGGTCAAATTACATGAGATGCATTAATTATTTTAAAAGCTATAAGTTGATAATGTACTGTAGTTATTAACAGAAGATGAACTATAAGTAAAACAGATTAAAATCTCTATAGTACCCAAACTGAAGTACTTGTACTTGTACTTGATTTGAGACAAACTGGTATCAGGACACCCCTAGTTTCTAAAATTTCAGTTGACTGAATATTGTTGCTTAATTTTAAAAAAGAAAAACCCTAAATCACAGTTTTTACATTAAATTATAATTGAAAAAAAAATGCTGATATTAGGACAGGTTATGTTCTAGAAACTTTATTGATGATAGCAGTGAAGCTGTTGTCTCCTATTTAATGAACCTGTTGTTTGTTGGCTTCAGTAAAGTAATAAAGTTAAGAACATATAATTGAATGCTGTTGATGTATTTAAATCATTCTGCAAACCAGAACATGGTCATAGGTTCTATTTTTCTTTCAGGAAAAAGGATTTTTACCTCACTGTAACTACACTTGGGACCTAAAAAATATGTAAGTCTAAAAACTTTTCTCTTTCTGACATTTATTGTTTATTTATATCAACTGATGTGACGTGTTCTGTCCTGTCTTTGTTTAGACTTGCACACAGGTCCACATCTGCCTCCCCATGCAGAACTCCATGAAATGAGTAAAGCACCTCAGCCTATAACCGGACCCCCCTCTGCCCCACACCCTGCACCCTCCCCTGGCCTTTCACAGGTAATGTGCTCTCATCACATCAGTGTTTCTTTGGGCACAAATGGGGTATTCTTCTACAGTATCTGTTGTTGTTCATAAGACAAATCTTGAGTTTAAAGATGAGAATATTGTTAATATTTTTAACTTTTTGTTCCGTTTTTTCCTCCACTGTTACTAATAAATCTGTCTTTTATAGCCCTCATTTCCCCCTGGGGGGCCAGTTGTATTTGCAACTCCTGCACCTCCACAAATGAACCCCACACCACAGCCCCGACAGGTAGGTCAAACTGATACCAGGAAAATAAACATTCCCTTTTATGGTCAACTTCCTGCAAGATATCATACTGTAACATACAGCATTACATTAGATGTGTTTTATTGAGTTCTGGTAAAAAGTTTATTAGTCAACATCATTCCCTCATTTTTCCCTCAAACTGGTAATCAGCATTTGTAAAATCGCCATTAAAATGACAGAAAACTATATTACGCACTTTTTTTCTTTTTAATACTGTATTGAACCCCTGGTGGGGAAGTTAAGTCTCTGCATTTTACCCATCGCACATGTGAACACGAGGAGCAGTGGGCTGACAATTGCAGCGCCCGGGGAGCAGCTGGGAGGTTGAGGACCTTGCTTCGGGGGCCCAGGGTGGGGCTGGTTAGTTCGGGGAGTTGAACCGGCGACTTTCCGATCACAAACTCGGTGTCTCTACCCTCTGCGCCACCACCTCCTCCAAATATCTATTTCTAGGGTTCATGAAACGTCTGCTTGTCTGTTTTCTTCTCATCAGTTCTGCGCCACTTTTACCGTCAGTGTTAGCACGATCTTCATCCTCACATCTTAATGTGCTACATGGGATAAATCTTGTTTCAGCAGGAATTGAATTTGAATTGCTCAGATTGAATCTGTATGTGCATAATTTGAAATTGAATGCATTGGTTTGAAAATGAATTTTACTAAATTCATGTAGAAATGTAGAAAATACCGTATTTATTCGTGTATTATACGATCTCATATATAATACGACCCCCCCTTTTTTGAGCTTAAAAAGCTTTAAAAAATTGAATCCTCAATCTATCTCCAATTTCATACAGATTTCAACATTTTTCAGCCTTTGCAGTCTTTATACATATCAGTAAAATGATCATTGGACTGTTCATTTTATTTTAACAACATATTACTAAAAGGTATTTTGACAACAAATATATATCAGCAAACTATGATTTTGAGCATCATTTGAATTCTGGCATTTTACACATAGTCCACCAGGATGCTCCAACACATTTCTCTGGAAAAGGCACAAATCTGCTTGAAGATTTGGGCCATCTTCAAGCAAATACAAGCAGATTACTTCCTACTCGCAAGCGCCCCCTCTGGTGGGGAAACATTTTTTCAGGAGTACAAACTTTTTTAGAACACCGGTAGACAGCAGCCATTACAGACGGACATGTGTTTGTTGTTGTTGTTCCAGCAGCAGCTCGGTCACACGCTAATGTCATTAGTTTGTGATCATTACTGAGCTGCAGGACTGCCTTTTTACACTTTTTTTCCACATCATGTCGCCTGCTTGGATCTGTTACTATCTCGCTCTGCAGCACGGAGGAGCATCAGAGGTGAGCTTGTTTCAGCTGCTTTTTACGACGCGGTCTCATTTCCGGATTCAATAATTTTGCCGATATTTCAGTTAAAATACATAAGTAAAAATATTTATCCGAGTATAATACTACCCCCCAACTTTATGGATGATTTTACGGATTAAATTTTACGTATTATACACGAATAAATACGGTACATCACATCATGGATCGCATATTGATCAGATGATGTTGCTGCTGACTGATCAATGACGGGATGTAAATGTAACATTTTCTATAGGTAAAATTAATCACTGCAATAAAATAACTGTTTTTGTCACTTTTATGGTGGATTGCATCAACTCTGTTACATACAGAAGGGAAGCTTGACCAAAGTGAAACATAAATCTGTGGATCTGTGTTTGATTACTCTGCCTGGCTTTCTCAAGGACCAGGATGTGACACAAAAATCTGAATTATGGAACTGAAAGTGAAAGTAGTCAAACTGAATTTTTAATAAACCAAAATACAGTTTCAAAGCAAATAAATTCAGATACAAAACTTCAAATTCAGTTTCAAACCATTGAATTCAGTTTCAATTTAGTGAAATTTATTTTCGAACCAATGCATTCAATTTCAAATTGTGCACATTCAGATTCAATCTGAGCGATTCAAATTCAATTCCTGCTGGCACAAGATTCATCCCATACGCGTTGACCTGATCAGCATGGTTTAGCTCTCCAAAGTTATTCTAGGAACGTTAAACAGCCTAATTTTATTGGTCGTGCTGAATTGGAGCTTGACCGGCTCCTTTTTTTTAAAATGTTTTTTAATGATTGTTCTTCATCCATTTCCAATATGTTTGCTGTGATTAAGTTAATTATCTGTTTGTCTGTTTATCTGTTCAAAGCAAATCAAATTTCAAATAAATTATGCTACAAATTTCTCTAACATTAAAGAGTTGTATTAGAAAATCATGGTCATGAAAGCTTGTGCATCGTGATGGATGGACTCTGGGCTTCAGTCTTTAATTTGTGTCCTGTCTGCCTCTCCTCCTCTAGTTTGCCCCAGGGCCCCGACCTTTACACCAACAGGTACTAACAGCACAGCTAACTAACACATGCTGGTGAGGAGGGCTTCTGTAGCCGTTGATGCATGTCGGGAAGCACTGGGGGAGGCTGAAAGATGGACGACTGTGCTCTAATGAAATAAACACAAACATTAGCCTCCTTTAGTCAGTTTATATCAAGTGCATTTTTTAGCCTGAGCTGTTAGTTTTGATCTCATGTAGAGACTATCAAGTTACACTTCTCTGTTCACATCCAACATTTACAGACTAATCTATATAAAGATTCTGTAGGAGTTTGTCTTGACCTCCAGCAGAGGGTGTACCAATGCCAACTTAGTTTTATGCTAAATAAATAAATTTTGAGAGAACTAAATAAATATATTTTTGTACAAAGCAGCTTTTACACAAAACAAAACGCACCCTCCAGCTTCTCTCCAAAGTGAGCTCAAGTGAGCTAATATATCTTTGTCTGACTTTTGTTTCTCAGTCAGCTTCAACAGCATGCCCACCAAAACATTAAAAATACTTTGAAGGCAAGTTTAAAATCATAATATGTGGCTCATCAGTAGTGTTAGAGCATTAGTAAGTCATTATGACACACAGTATGGCTGAAGTATCCCAGGAAAGAAACAAGACAATGTCAATAAATTTAATAAAAAGTTTTGTTTTTATGATGTATGATGTATGAATATAGTTGTTGGGTCCACTGTTGAATACATAGTTAATAAAAATTAAATTCATAGAGTCAGATTTACGAACAAGGGACATTTCTAGTCACTAGTGATACTGAATATCAAAGTTTGTTTCGTTCACGGGTCACAGTCTAGTTGGTTATTAAATCTTGTCTCAATAATTTAAAAGCTTATGACTGACATGTACAGATCAAACTCGGCTGCCTTAACCAAAATATTAAGTGATTATTTATTTCCTGTGGAAAAAGTCAACCACAGTCTCAAATGGTGAAGCAGTTCTCGGTTGTTGTTGAATATCCTCCAGGTAAAGTTTGATTTGAGGTCTTCCTCCTCCAGAGTTACAGTCCCAGTTTGAATGTTCTGCCTGTTCACTGCATGCTTCTTGTTAATTCGCTGCTTGGCTCAGTTCACCTGTTTCTGGACTCTACAGCAAAGAGTCCAGAAACAGGTGAACTGAGCCTGTCATGCTTTCTGTATCTCAAAACTTCTTTTCACACCTTCTTACTGTCTCTGTTTGGTATGTCCTTGTATGTGATCTGTTTTGTGCTGCTGAAGGGAAGCTTCAGGTCGCTACAGGTAACTCGCTTTTCTCCTTTTTTTTTCTCTTCTCCTATTGTTTGTTTATTCCTGTTACCGTGCAGGCTGCATATGTATGTGTGTCTAATACTTGGCAGTGATTTGCATTGTTGGCTCGGTGTCAGTGTGCTGCTGTGGTGGTTAGCTCCCAGGCTGGCAGCATGTCAATGAGCAGGCTCTGAATGAACTAGCTTTAGCAGTTTTATCTCTCCACCGGCAGGGCCAGAATGTTACCATTCGGAGTTTAGCCATCGGTTCACAAGCAAACTGGATCTGAGCTAGTTAGCTTTTCTTGGACCAAGATCAAAAACATTACAAAAAACATTAACGTTACATATGCCACAGTATTTATTGACTTGGTTTCACTTATTTTGGTCCAAACTCTGGTCTAATTTTTTCTGCCACTTGTTTTTATCATTATAACACCCCGACCACTCCTGTCACCTCCTTTTTACAAACCTCGGCTCTTTCCCATCTTGTTTTCTCCCTTGTCTTCTGTCAGCCCTACTATGCCAACAGGGCCAGCCTGCCTCCCAGCAGCGGGCCCCGAGGCATCCCACCCAGCAGTGCTCCTCGCTCTGTGACACCCACCCATGTTTACCAGGCGGGCCCTGGCTCCCAGATGATGATGATCCCTCAGCAGCAGTTGCCTTTTGCCAGTTCACCACAAGGACCTGCTTATTTCATACCAGGACAGGTGGGGCAGTTTGAATGACTGAATTAACTTTTTATTTGTCATGTTTATTAATATTTTTATTTAGTTTTTATCTTTGGCGCTTTATGTTATTCTTCCTTTAGTACCGGTCTCCCACCTACGTGGCCACACCTCAGCAATACCCTGTCTCGACAGGCACCCCAGGCTTCTACCAAGGCACCAGCCCGGCGGAATATGGTACTTATGGTAAGAGGCTCTACCTGGGGCCTCAACTGCACTACACTCAGAAATCAGGACAATTACAATGACGTGAACATGAAGCTGATACATTAATTGACCTTAAAGAACAAAACATTATCTGAGGAACCAGTATAAAACATTTATTTATTTATTTTTTTGTTTAATAGTTTATTCATTTTGGTTAAAAACAAAATTTTCAATACAAAAAATAAATCATAAAATGAAAGGAAGCAGCAGAAGAAAAAAATCTTATATCTGCCCCTATTTAATAAAAACATAATATACAGTATACATGTGTATATATACGTATATATAC